TTACCTGTGGCGCCATCGCTCCAGCTCCATCTTCGTGGTACCTGCATCAAGGCGCCAACTTCACAGGTTAGTACTGGACACAGAGAGAGAGAGAGAGAGTTCTTCTTCTTCCTCTTCTAAGTCCACCATCTCTTCTCACCCTCTCGCCACCTGACTTCTCAGACTACGACAGAGAGAGAAAGAGTTGTGACATGAGACTTGATGACATTGGATCCAGACTCGACATTGGGATTCAGACATTTTGACGAGGGACTATTTGGGCCTGTGCTGAACACTTGGTGTTGACGACATTCCCATCTTCCCCTCTTCATCGTCTAACGCCACCTCCTTCGTCTGTGTATGGTTGGGGCTGGCGCAGTCTTCTTGTGTGAAGCGCCAGACCCCTTCACACCATGATGATGATGATGTATGTTCGCATTGTTCGGGGCTGCATTGCATTATTGATTGTTCGGATCATTGGTATCTAAGTCTTCCGTTGAGCTTTCTTATACTTTGTATTGAAAGGTCGGCTCTTGTTTTGGTCTGCACGTTACAGTATGCAACAAAAAGGGTCTTTTATTTCGTAACACTCTCTCTCTCTCTCTCTCTCTCTCTCTCTCTCTCTCTCTCTCTCTCTCTCTCTCTCTCTCTCTCTCTCTCTCTCCCCCGCCCCCCCCATGCACATATCACTCTGACTAGATGGACAACACCGGAGGTTTTTTGGTTGGGGATGGTGAACGCACCCGGAAGGAGGGAATAAAACCCCCGTATTAGTTCGTCGTTCACCAAGGATGGCTGAACAACGCACGACAACGTCCCCCTTGGTTGACTTGGGCGACCGTGTTAAGGCCACAACTTTTGCACACTGCTCGTCGACACTTGCACATGGTCTGTCCACACCTCCTGCATTGCCATTGCTTGGTTCGCGCCGGACAAACACTGGAGACGCTGGTCGTCCACACAAGTCTAGTCGTGTGAGATCATTACCTGACAAGCTCTGTGGTGTCCGTCCGTCGGAACGGCACCGAAGCTTATTTAATGAAGGTCAAGAGAGTGAGCATTCACGCACGCCTGTGATTGGGACCGTTCTTGACTGGGCGACGGAGAAGATTCACAGTTATATTGATAGTCATCCTCACACGCGTGCAAGTGCTGATCCGGAATCGTGTAGCCAAACTGGTAGCGGTCCTCGACGTGAGGCAGGCTTGCCTTGGACCGACGGGGTGGCCACATGTTCTCCAAACGGTCCTATATCTTCGGATGAGCGTAGTACCGTCAAGGACACAATGAAGCTATGGAATGAGCCAAACCGTCCCGATCTCGTTTTGGTGGAGCCAGTGCAATTCTTACAGCTACTGGGTATGTTTGATCTTACATGCCCTCTTCATTGAAAAGAGGCCGCTAGTCGTGTTACTGACATGTCATACCCCAGTCATTACTGCA